GAAAAAAGTATTGTCTAATAGACGACTGAAAAGTAATATCAACAGATACTACATCGTGATCTGAATTGCCAAGGGGGCAGAGTTGCGATACTCGTCGAAAGCTAGGAAAGGCGGTAAGGAACAAATCAAGTAAAGAAAAATGTTGATCAGACTTATTAGGGAAACGAGTAAAGAAGTTCACTATTTGACTGAGCAACGGAAAAATTTAAAGTCTCAATACCGGCAATGTCAGTAACAATAAAATGATTAAGACACTTGACGTGATGAGCATTAAAATCACCAAACACAAAAATGTTCGTAGTTGAATGTAGAGGTAGAGCATTTTCTATATTGTCAGAGATCTTATCTAATACGTTTCAGTCCGGAGAAGAAAGAGAGCAATAATTGCAATAATAAAAGTCGAAAGCTCATGAAAGCATCATCTGGTAACTCAAGAGTTAATTAGAAGTTTTCCCGAACTAAACACATTCATATATATCCTAGAATGTTTTCGACAAAGAGAAAGATAGCCTAGAACAGAGAATTCATTTGTAGCAATAGAAGAATTTAAATTAGTTTGACAAAGTGCGAAGATATCCGTAGAACGTTTCAAGAGAAAAGATTCTACACTACAGAAATTGCTAAAATTATCCGTTTCGATTATATATAAATGGGATCGAGATGCCGACAAAAAAAAACTCCTACCCTCTCATTGAGCGGATCCCCAAAAAGGGAACAAGTTGGCCTAAAGAACAGCTTACTAGCCAAAACAGGCCACACCAATGTCTACTGAATGGTCATTGGAAAGGTTAAATTGACTATTCTATAGAGGGAAGAACAAAATGATTTTTACTTTTTTCGGACTTTCTGATGTGTAGTCAGCCAGCAGCACCGACACTCTGAAGAATTTGAGCAAAGAGTAAGAGACTTTGGAGTTCGAACAACATGGATGGGTACGGATGGAGAAAGAGCCACAATGTTTGTAGGGGTTTTGTCTTGTGGAATCAGCAGCAGCAGCAGCAGTAATAGTAGTAGTAGTATTCAAAATTTTTAAAAAATTACAAACACAATGCTACAATGCAATAAGCTTTAAAACATCAACTAATTTTGCCAATTTTACCTACCTTCATCCTCTTGACAGTGTTTGCTGTTTAAAAAAAAGATGATTGGAAATTTGATTTTTTTTGTATTTTTGAATAAAAAGATTTCTTTTCACATTTATTTTTTTATAAAATAGTAAATGATAAATCTTTATAAAAGGTAAATATGTGTTTTTTTTTATATAATCTTGTAAATAAACATTGCCGAGGGAGTGAACATAGTGAAAATAATAACGGTGTCAATTTTGAAACACCATTTTTACGGGCACGAAGGCCCATATTTCCCGAAATCTTTTCTTGAAGCTTTGATTTTAGTTTTAATTACAAATTAATAGATTAAATTTAATATTTACAATATTCAAAATAATTTGCTGTATTTCAAACCGAATTTAAATTGGTTGGAATTATTTTTTTCTTGATTATCAATAAAATCGCTAAAATCGTCCATATTGACAAATCTGCCAGCACAACATAATTCCTTTTATTAAAAATTTTTCAAAAATAAAATATACTTTTCTGAAACATTATTTGATAAAAATTAACTGATTTATAGTTTAATTAATCTGAATTGAGACAAATATTACTTTTAGTTTAAAATATCACAAAAAAGCATTTTAACATGGTGGGTGTTTCTATGAGCCTGATGTTTGAGAAATTTATATAAGGAAGAGATAATTGTATTAAAATTACATGACAAATACAACGTAAACATCTTTTTTATATAATTTTTTTAACTATCCTTTTCTTTCTTTCTTTTTATGTGCCATGTCCTTGCAGGGCGTAGGCGATCATGGCACTCCACTTCCCTCTATCCCTTGTGGCTCTCAATAAGTTTCGTCTCTCTGCCAACTCTCCCAGATCACATTCTGCCATCCACTTGATTAAGCCCGCCAGGTATGTCACGCGTTGCTTTCCCTTGTCTCTTTTTCCCTTTATTCGACCTGTGAGTATTAGATTCTCCATGCCCTCCTTTCTCCTTTGTCCCAGAAATTTCATCTGCCTTTTCTTTATGTTAAATATAATCTTTCTTCTTGTTTGCGTCCTTTCCAAGACTTCATCCTTGCTCACACGATCGCTTCTTGATATCTTTAGCATCATAAAACCACGTTTCCGCTGCCTCGAGTTTCTTCTTCATCTTTGAGGAGACCGTCCAACATTCGCTGCCATATAGGAGGATAGATGTCACGTAACAGCTCGGTACTCTTTTCTTTGTCACCATATAAATCCTCCTGTCTCGCAGTACTCTGCCTAGCTTGTGGAATGCATCCTTGGCCATCCCAATACGTCTTCGGATCTCAGCGTCGCACCTACCGTCCTCCGTCCAAACACTTCCCAGATATTTAAATTTCCTCACATGCTTGATTTTAGTGTTTCCGACCTGCAAATTGCATTTCGGACTCATCCTTTTACTGATGTCCATGCATTCTGTCTTCTTGTAGTTTATGCTTAGTCCCTTCTTCTCGCTTTCCCTCGCTACCTACTGCATTTTCTTTTCTGCGTCTGCTATCAGTACTGTGTCGTCTGCGTATCTTATGTTGGTAAGATTGTAGCCGCCAGTGCTGAATCCCAGTAGAATCTCCAATTTTCTCAGAATTGCCACGCTGTATAGGTTGAATAAGCATTTTTCTTGCGATATTTCGTGTTATTTGATTGATTTTGATTGTAAACTTGACCTTTTTCCCACAAGTAACATTGAGCCTTATTTTATAAAAAATAAGTTATTTGTCCAGAAAATGATTACCGCCTTTTCGGGTGCACAAAGCACCAAATTTTTGAATCCCTAAAATTTAGTTAAATTTGCTTTTATTTTAATAAAATTGTTTTGGTTTTATATCTCACTGAGTATCTCTCGTCATATTTTATGGTGTGACTTGTTGTCGCTTGATCGCCATTCCCCTCCATCTTTTTTAACTGAACTCACAAAAATATACATTAATTAATTTTTTCCTAGTTTCTCATACGCCAAGAAGATTAATGAAGGATGATAATAACGAGGAAACACACGGCTCATTTTAACAAAATAAGAAATTTGTTCACGAATTTACACGCTAAAAGTGGTGTCAGTAGCTCGTCTCAAGAAAATAAATCAGAATTCTTAAAGTCCATAGTTCTAACGTATTGTCACGAAAAGGAATTGTTCATAATACAAACTAAATGATCTGGCACAGAATAATATTCAAGAAATGTTTAAGAGAAAAGTAAGAGTTCGTTGCTCACCAAAGGAAGATATGGTTTGCATACGTTCAAAAGTATACGAAGAGAGTTTGAAATATTTAGCTTTCTTGGATTGTTGAGAGAAAATTATTTGAAGTGCCGCGTACTGGTTAGAGGCCAATAATAGAATAATAGAATTAGCGATTAATTTTACACTGGCGAGTACTTCAACACTGGTCACGAGGAGCTGAAACGAAACTCTTCACATAACTTGAAACACTCTTCTCTTATTAATTCAATTTTTCTACTCATTTGATATCAAAACGAATTTTCCGTAGGCTCGCGAATTTATTTCCTCCTTTTCGGTTGACCGACTAATTTCTGGGAAGGCAAAGTCTTCATTGTCGCCCAAACTATTTCATATAGGCTCACGAATTCCTTACCTTCTACTTCTCGGTTCACCAGTCAATTTCTGGGAAGGCAAGGTTTTTATTGGTTCAAAAACAATTTCACATAGGTTACTGTCCTTCTTCTTCCTCAGTCGTCCGGATTTTGAAGGGTGTAAGTGAAGGGAGCCATTATTATTTCGCACTTACTACAAATTACCGTAGCAGTTTTTCAATTTTTGTTCGAGATACATATTTTGTCCATTTTCTCCTGCAATACTCTACATATTTCAACATCATTTAATGTTTACTATACGAAATAAAATTTATTCCTTTTAATATTTCTTAATGAAATGCAGGGGTAGTTCTTCCCACCAAACATGTCATCAAACAAATTATTATATATTGATGTAATTAGACTAATTTCTTCATCTTGTCTTTCTTCTTTTTTTCTTCACAATGTTTTTGGTTAATGTAGTTTTCAACATAAAAAGGGAAATTTTTGAGCATTTCACTAATAATTTTGACTAGCATTCTCATAAATGGCTAAAACTTTGATAAAGTATTTTTATTATTTCACGAATTATCCGAATTACAGCTGACACCTCGGAATCATATCAATCAAAACATTATAATAAAAACAAAATGAGGACATTCGTTTGAATAATTTGTAGAATTATTATCTTTGTCTTATTCCTAATATTTTGGTTGATATGTTCTTTGGCCTTTCTTCCGTGGATGTTGCATCTGACAATCCTTAAATGCTGACCAGTATTGTTTTGATATCTCCGAAATAAAACAGATAACAATTCCAATATGATCAAAGCAACAAAGAGGTACATATCTGTGGGAAGAATTCTTCAAAACATGATAATGCTCTGTGTGTATCCTGTATTTATTTATTTATTAACAGATGAAAATTGTGTGCAAATATTTATCTGAAATACAGAACTGGTTTGGTACAAATTCTTTTGGATATGGTCACAAGTCTGACCATTGGAAAAAAAAGTTTGTATTTTCCAATTTCTTGTTACTCTACAATATTCTACCTTACGATTGTTTCATATCAGGTACTCGCTTTAATATTTTGTTATTTGATATATGGGCATTTACCTATATTTGAAATGCATAAATATTTTATATTATTATTAGAACCAAAGCCCAAAGCCCAGCCCCACGTTCGTGTCGTGGGGGGTGGGGTGGAAACATGTAATGCTGGCTAACGGTGAAACTGTGATCGGTTTAGTAGACTGACAGTAGATAAAAGAGATACAAATGGACTGATCAAGGCGGAAAACGACCCGGTGAGGAAAACGGACAACGAGCTAGGAATAACGAAAAGGTTGGAACCTGCAACATCTGTTGTTTGACAAACAAAGAACTAGAGATAGTTGAATTCATGATCCAACGCGGGATCTCGGTCCTGGGTATCACTGATATTAAAAGGAAGGGAACAGGAACAAAGGGAATAGATTCCAACTTTATTCTTATGTGGAGTAAACGGGGAACAGAGAGCAGCACATGGTGTAGGTTTCATCATACACCCTGATAAGGAAAAGGATCTAGTAAGCACGGAATTCATTTCAGAGAGACTCGTGAAGAGTGGCGTCAGAGAGGGAAATAAGGTCAACTTCTTTCAAGCGTACACACCATGTAATGACTCTTAAGAAGAAAAAGGCTCCTTCTTTGGAGAACTCTAGACACCATCAACTACATCCCAGACAAAGAAGTACGTAATGGGAGACTTTAACAGCAGAGTCAGCGAGAGAAGAACACCGTGGACAAAACCCCTGGGTCCACACAGTGACCATAGAACAGCTTGCAACTACAACGGCAACCATGTATTGAAGCTGTGTGCAGAGCACGACCTTATTATCACTAATACCTTCTTCCAACATAGAGCCACTCAGATTTACATCTGGGATAAATGGAACAACATCAATATCTCATCTCAAATAGATTTCATGCTAGTAAGATCCCGAATGCGGAGCAACATCACACACTCAAGAGCTATCCCCAACGCAGGGCTGAATACTGACCACAGGTCAGTCGTCACAACGTTGAGCATTCAGAAAAAGAGGAAGTAACAGAAAGAAACAACCAGAAAGACTCAATATGCACAAACTTCAAGATGAATGTGTACAAATTCAGATCAGGTGCACCATCGACTAGAAACTGGGCTCTAATGATTCTACAACACTAAACATAGAGGAAGCTTGGGAAACATTCAAGACAGCCCTTCTGGACACATTAAAAGAAGTTTGCGGTACTAAAAAGACAAGAGGAAGAAACAGAAAAGCAACAGCCTGGTTGAACAAAGAAGTGAAGGATGCTATCAGGGAAAAGAAGAGACTATACAAGATCTGGATCAAATCAAAGAATGAAGAGGATTACATCAAGTATAGACAAGTAAGAAGAGACATCATCAAAAGTTGTGAGAACAGCAAAGGAAAACTCATGGAAACAGTATAGTGAAAAATGCAAGATCTCACCAAAAGAATTCTACAAGAGTGTGAAAGCAATGAGAGTGAGAGATGAGCCTTATGACCCCACCACTGACATCAACGATGAAGACGGAGAAGATTTGCATGAGGAAGGAAAGATAATTAGGAGTACAAGGACATGAAATAAAGTCTCGATTTGCCCCCAGCTATCCAGATCACTCAGAATTTACCATCCTGGAGAGTGAAGTGAGAAAAGAAACGAAAACCAATCCCAAGGGCAAGGCGGCAGGAAATGATGGCATTACAAATGAAGCCATTCTTGCTTGTAGTGAAACAGGAATACAGTGGCTCACCACCATCTTTCAGAAAGCTTGAGAAGAGAGAAAAGTACCAGAAGATTGGCAAAATGCAATAATGGTGCCAATATGGAAGAAGAAGGATAGCAAGAAAGACTGCAGTACCTACAGAGGCATGTCACTACTCAGTCATGTAAGGAAATTGTATGCAAAGATCCTTGAGTAGCGTACTCGAGTAAAAACAGAACATCTTCTCAGTGACGCCCAGTTTGGATTCAGGAAGGGAAGGCGGTGCACCGATATAATTTTTGCACTCCGACAACTGTGTGAGAGGACGATGAAACTCGACCAAAATGTCCACCTTTTATTCGTGGACCAGGAAAAAGCCTTTGATCGAGTCAACAGATAAGCTATGGGAGGTCCTCGAACATTGAGGTACCAAGAGAAAGCTGCTAGACAACATCCGGGTCATGTACGCTAACAGCAAGAACGCAGTCCGCACGGAACGTCTGACTTGTTTCCAGTAACACCTGGGGTTAGGTAAGGCTGCAATCTCTTTCCTCTACTGTTCGTGATCTACATGGACCAGATTAGAAAAGAGGCCAATCTAGATCCTGAGGAACTCAACGAACTCGTGTTTGCTGACAACCAGACAATGATGAACAACGATAGGGTCCAGCTGCAAGAACACACTGACCAACTCAACTCAAGCTGCGAGAAATACGATCAGTGTCAGTAAGACCGAGGTCATGACCGCCAGCAAGAAACCAGAAAAACTGGACATTAACATCAATGGGACTCAGCTAAAGCAAACCAGTGAATTCAAATATCTGAGCAGCATATTTACTGAAAACAGCAAACTAGACAGAGAGATCGAAACCAGATGTTAGAAAGCCAACGCAGTCATTTACCAACTTGCTCCTCTTCTAAAACACCCTAGCATGAGCGCCAAGGCAAATCTCATTAACTCCATTTTCCTACCAACGCAGACATACCAGTGCAAGACATGGCCCCTAACAAAAACCCTTGAGGATAAACTGATCACTTGTGAAATGAAATGCCTAAGGAAAGCCTTGAACAAGACCAGGCGAGACAAGATCAGGAATGAGGCAATAAGAAATATGGTAGGAGCAATACCAATCATACAACACATCGAAAGACGGAGGATCATGTGGTTCGGACACCTCACACGGATGCCTATCAACCAACCAGCCCTACAAACATACACCCCCAGGTATTCTGGCTGGAGAGCGAGAGGCAAACCAAGAAGACGCTGGAGCGATTCAGTGGAAGACGCTCTCAGAGCCCACGTGATATCTCTCCTTCAGGCCACTCGTCTTGCCGCTGACAGATGACTGTCTCCTCTCGACGCCTAACAACACAAGCGGAATGAAAAACTAAACAATTAGAACCAAATATTTTTCAAACATAATAAAATACTCGTTATGAAGTATTTCAATGGTCCATATTTCATTATTCTAGCAACATCATAGTTGTAACTATATTTAACAGTGGTAAATAAAACTATTTAACATTGACGTAAATATATTTTAAATTAACCTGAATCAGATATAAGATACCATTTTAATTAGATACTTGCTTACAACAAAATTTGATTAATAAATTCAAAACTTGCTTTACTGAATGCACCTCAAAAGTGATCTGAGAGCAGAGGCAAATTCAGTTTTAATTATTTTCCAGGTATGTGAATAAAATTAGATGTGCTGGTTGTCAGCACTGAGTCAGCAGTTATGGTTGACGGTCGGCAATTGCAGGAAAGTATTTTGAATGTTGTGAAAAATGTCGGAGTTAAACAATTCCTTAATACTGACCCCAGATAATTTTTATTCCACCAACAAAAAAATATAGCTTTAATCATAATGTGATAATTGAGTGAAAACAAAACATTGAAATTAAATTGAAACAATGCATGAACAAATGAACAAGAAAACAAAATTTATGGTTTTAATAATAGTTGAAATAATTCTTTTTAACAAATGATACGAAATGTTCGTCTTTGAAGACGGTGTAAAAAGTTAACTGTCTATTTCTTATTGAACAAGAAATTGGACATTTGTTGAAGGTGCATGTTTATGGGAAAGGAACTTAATAACATGAGATGGAAACAAAACATTCTTAAATTTAAATAGAATTTCTAAATCGATCAAATTAAATTATTCTGAAAATGTTAAATGAACAATGAAGATAAAAGCTATATTTTAAATTTCTCTGTACAAAGAATAAGTATTTCTGTCTTGGATGACAAAATTATCATTATTTACATATCCTCATTTTCGTTTTGGCCGTTGTGCTCTCCGGGCTTCTTCGTGTGTTTTCGATCCGGGTAACTTTCAGTGAATTTCAAGCTGAACCCTTTATTTAATCTATGGCAATAGATTGTTCTCATTATGTTGTCCATGTCTAGGGATATTACCTAATGGAATGTTTGGTCATTGAAAGAACATGACAAATACAAATATTAGAAGATAAATAAAAAAAACTTGCTTGTGATCGGCTTTATTCGAGTACGGGAGTTGAGAGAGAGAGAGAGAGAGAGAGGGAGAGAGAGAGAGGGGTGCGAGAATCACTTTTCTTAACGTTAAATAGGGAGCATGTACTAAACGATAACGTTGATTAGGGAGTATGCATTAAACGATAATGCAACATCCCCCCTTTTGTAAATAGAGACTACTGTCCTACAAACTGTCCTTGACTCATTTCACATAGTCTTTCAGATACGTCGGCTGTCGTATTCCTTTTCTAGTGTGTATACGAATCTAAACAGAGTTCTAGCATTCCTTTGGTTCAGCTGAGCTAGCACCTTCGCTTGAATTAGATGTAGCTAGTAAGGATATGGTTCGAGGCAGTGGGATACTTTGTGTTGTTTACGTACCATGTGTCTGTAGAGATTTGGTGGTCGCTGACGATTTAGCGTGTGCTTCACTAATTGCCAATGACGTCTGTTTCATCGATAGATTCGTCAGATGACTTATGAGGCATTTCTCCCATATAACCATTACTCTTCTTATATGGGCGCATTCGAACGTCACATTCGTTCAATACAGGAAAATTGCGTGCATGACAATTGTAATGTTTAGCCTGAACCATCAGCTTGTGTTGCGGTATAGTGTTGGACTTAAGGCTTGTAGTCTTTAGTTTCAGTAGATTGATTCTCGTGTTGTGATCTTATAGGCATTCAGAAGGACTGCTTCTCATTCCTGGAGTTGAGGTATTTAGTCGAGCAGTGCCAGAAACTGAACTGTGAAGGTATCCTTATTTTTTTCGCATGATCCGTTTTGCACTCTTAACTTCGGATTGTACTTTGTCATTTGCTTACTAATTTTGGGGACTTATAAAAAATATAGGTAATCTCCCTTTGTTAGATAACTCCTGCTGATAATAAAGAGACTATTATAAACTAATGATAATGGGTATGACCCAAAATTAGGCGCGAAACAGAATTCGTGCGCCAAGGGAGATGCCAAGAAGAACACGGAGCGAAGGGACGTATTTTTGCCAACTCCAAGAACAGACAATGATGACCACGAGCTAACCTGAAAGATGCAAGGATAGAGCGACTAATAAAAGCAGAATATGAACATCATTTAGATAAGTATGTCATCTATTTCAAACAGACATGTATTTGGATTTCGTTCCCGATGCCTTGACTTTCAAGAATACGTTTTTAGCAATCCTCTATTCTTTTTTCTCGTTATGTAATGTATTTTTTGTATGAAGTATATTTCAAACCGTTCAATTGTCTCACTTTGTTCATCAAGCTACGACTCTGTTTGGGGAGTCGTTAAATTTCCATCAAAATTGCTATGAGATGGTCAAAATCGCATTTCTCTGAAAAGTGCTTGAACTGTGATTTAGCCTCGGAAATCACCTGACAATTGAGGTAGTAAGTTGATCTATTTCTCAAAATTTCAAAAGGTAAAAGGTACTCAATGCTATCAAACGCGAACAGGTCAACGCCAATTTTATGCCAGGAATTATTAGATATATCATGTGACATTAGTTTCTCCTTAGGCTGTTCTGTCGTGAAATTGTAGCAAATATTCACGTATGTCTAATGACACGCCTAGCCAGAAAATATATTCCCTAGCTCCACCTCGAAATGACCAATTAAAACCAATTTTGACTTGTGACCTGGGCGTTCGCGTTCGGGTTCCCCACGTTAAACTTTGACCTTGTGTCGCATCACGTATCAGTGGGTAGGCTACGGGTAAATGCCCAATCGAGGGAACTTTTTGTCCTCCCGAAATGACAAACTAAGACCAATGTGGGCCTGACTCCGCTCGTGAGGGGTCTAAGCAAATTTTGATCAGTGGGGAGGCTACGGGTAGATACCCACTGCGGGAAAGAGGCAGCCAGGATAATTTGGTAGTATCCGGACCAGTGACGACCAGCAGCGATAACTAGCGACGAACAGCGGCGACCAGCAAGCACCAGTAAGCGACCTGCGATCAGCAGCGACCACGTCGTCTACAAATCCACTCGACGATTCAGGTTTCACTCCCTGCTGCTCATCATTTCTGTCTGCTAGTATCAGCTCAACACACTGACTGTCTTATCGCCCTTCGACACCTCCCAAGCGGTTTCGTCATTACTTTCTGGTTAACAACAATCGTCTACTCTGGGCTACGACTGTCTACTAGTACAAGTTTTTGACCAATGACCTGATCGTCCGCGCTCGGGTTCTCAGTGTTAAGCCCTGACCTTGTGTCGCATCCTGTCTCAGTTGGGAGGCTACGTGTAGATTCCGAACACTTGAATGACCAATTAAGACAGGTTTTGGGTTTGATCCTGCTCGCTGCGCAAAGCCCTTCTGCATCACTGAATTATGCATGCTTCATATGGGTTATCGATACTGATTATTAGTGTTTTGCAGTAGAAATCTTGCAAGGTAATTTATGATTCCACAGTATCGCTGTAGTTGTAAATTGGTGACCGCATCAAGAATCTGGTAGAAGGCCATCAAAGTGGCTCCAAAAAGCTGATTCTTTCAGCTGAACTTTGTTAAACTTGATCCTCTTTTCACGGCATCGCTGTAGTAACTGTTTCAGATTTCTATCATCAATTGTTGTTCAAGTTCGTCTCCTGAAACAAACACGATGATAAAAATGGCAACACACGCAATTCCATTCAAACCGACAAGAGCGATATGGAGACATTTCTGAAATATTTTGGAACTTAAAAAGGAACTAAAAAAAGGGAGTATAAGCCATTGATATCGACAGAATTATATTTGAAAAGTATTAAGATAACTGTATTAGTTGTCTAAAACTACATGTCAGGAAGCAGATGTAACATCTAATTTGGTGAAGTATTTTGCATTCGTTAGCCTTCATTTATGGTTGGTAACTGGTATCGTTTACACTTCAGTGCTTTTTTCAAGGGTTTCTGGTTGATGCAGATACGGATTTCGCCAGACTTTTTTGTAGTGATGATCATTCGAATGGTCCAGTTTGATGGTACGTCGACAGGGGCGATAACTCCAATCACTTTAACTCTTTATTGTCTTGAGGAATCATGGACACTGATGTGCATTCAGTATGCGGTGTGACAGTTTCGTCAACTTGTAGATGCACTTGTCCAGGTAATTATCCCAGTTCACCGTTGAAGACATCCGAGTAGTTGGTTAACAGTTGCTTGCACTCTGACACTTAATCGGCGTTAGCAATATAATCTTAGTGCACAGTTATTAAGTTCATTTTTTTCACTTGCACGATTCCCTAATAATAGGATTAGATTCTCCTCTATAATAAAGACTATAGCAAATTCGAACGAATATTTTTTCATACTTAGTTTTACAGCACAATTCGACATTTTCCGATTGACCCTAGTTCAGTCCCATTCAACATTTGTACTTTCTTGGTAAATAGTTGTAGATCAGCATCACCCACATATTTCTTCAGGATTGCATTGACAATAGCTGCACAATGTACTTGGAATTTTAACTTCTATTATGTTCGTATAGATTATTTTGTCTGACTGCTCCCTTTTTGAAGTCACACATAACACATATTCAGTGTGCCACTTGAAGAATCTAATAACACACGGTTAATCTTGTGTTTGGATTGAACCTCAGTTATTTTCCCACTAGAATATTTCTTTTGTTACTAATGATGGCAAAATAATCAATGTTGTTATAAACTCTACATTTTAGGATTCAAGCAGGGCATATTTCTTTCGGAATTTCTGTTTGTAACTTTGATTTTCAACTTTGTTTATTTGTTGTCTCAGTTAGGTCTCCCATAGCTTTCAGCTGTGTAGTTGTAGCTTATCGTAGCCCTTCGCTACTCCGATCATGTGATCATGGCGGACGCAATATTTTGCCATTTCTTCATTGCGTTACCCCACTCCCTTCAATTCGATATAGCAAGTCTATTTACATTTATAATAAATCTAATTTCTCTTTAGTTGTTTGAATATTACCAACTTAGTCTGAATACTTTTCAGAAACATTTTGATACTTTTTATACTTCGTAGCAACTCGGGATTTATTTCCTTTAGATAGTAAGCCCAGCTGATGTTGTCATATACACTTGTTTTTTTTTTTTTTCACTACTCAAAAGGAGAACGGGGTGGGGGAGACATTCTCTCTTCCATTTTCTCTCTTGTCGAAATCTCTGCCTCCAGGCGGAGAGGAACCCAGACGAAGCTATGCTGAAGGGTAGAATCTCGTTTGGGAAGGTAGACAAAACCCGATACCGTGTATACAGTGTCTACGGGCAATTTTTGTCATAGTCTACGTGCTCGTAACGCCCTACGTTAAAAACTGGCCTAGTGACACATGTTGCCTTGTGGAGAGGTTGGTAAATAGAAAAGAGGAGGAGTAGAAGTAGGAGTAGGAGGAACGACGTTGGAAGTCTGTACCGGTGACCAGGATGAATCAACACAGGTTCTGTATTAAGTTACAGTCCTCTTTTTTGTCTGCCAACTGGAAGCTAGTTGGAAACTTTCTTTTTCCTTCTTCTATGCAGTCCTTTTCTTCCGGTTTCTCTCCTAGCACTCTCGGACTCCCTGATTTTATGGCTGCTCCATGGCCCCTTTTTAATTCCGGCATTTTCTGACATGCGCAATTCAGCAGTCTATTGGCTAGACTCCCTGTGATCATCTATTCATCCAGCACGGTGCAGTCGAGTAACAAAGAATAAAAAATCACAAGAATTACAAGAATTGGCTACGTTACGTGGCGTAGTAACATGAATAGATTTTCTCATTTGATTTCTGGTCACTTTCGTTGAAGACATACACTTCCATATGTCTCGTTAATTTAAAATAAAAGTTAATAAAAATGTTCATTTAAGTATCGTAGCCTGTAGAGTCATAGGCCAAAAATAAAAAAAACAATGTATAATGACACCCCTGGCTCAAAAAGTGCATGAAAAATTAAAAATGAAAGAAATATAGAACACCAGCAGTGAAATAATCAAGAAACTAATATTTATGCTTAAAGATAATTTACCTTTAACCATATATAACCAATACTAGTTTAAGAATTCCTTTTTAAAGGGGTTCGTAACGAATGCTTGTTGCTTTTTCTTTTTGAAAGAGAATCTCGTATTATGTAGGAAAGTTGGGCTAAGATCGAGTCAAGTATGATGAAAGGTAGCTTCAAGTAAAGAAATTGACTATAAAAGGTCTATTACCGAAGTTTAGGTGTTTGAGGTGTATGGCGAAGAGGGAGAAACGGAAAACACTTCATCCCGACTCGATGTCCCGCAGGTCGTCTCCTGCACGTGCATACTTTTTGGCGGGGATCCGATAAGCCACGTGACCTTTAACTGGCGGCAAATGCCAACGGTCAAACCACTTTGAAAGGGTGTTCATTCCAAAACGGTCACGTGTCTTAACGTTGAAAGTGTTGGGTCGTTGCTCAAAGGGTAGCAACGACGATGAAGGAAAGAGAAAAGGTTCGAGGCAACCGTTGACGGAAGGGGGCGAGTGCCGACATATCCAATAATTATTTATTTAGTGTTCACTCCTCATTTAAGATTTCTCCATCAGTCAGCACTTGGCTGCCAGTAAGTAATCTATTGGCAAATTTTCTTTGAATGTTTTGTCTTATATAATATGTGAAATTTCAATAGAATTTGTTATTAGATAAACTTGTTTAAATTGGATTTTAAACAATTTGTAAAACAGTTTCTGAAATGAAATTCTGAAATGAAGAGTTTAGGAACAAAAGTTGTCTGTCTTTAACTATATGTTTGTGTGTGTCAAAGATTGCATAAAAAATATCTTACAAGAATTCTGGAAGATAGCTTGTTCTTCAGTCGAGAATTAAACTTGATGAACGATAAATTCCGGTGTAAAAGTGTTCTGTAGATTCAGTCGAAAATCAAAATTGTGATTGAGAATTCTTCAGTAAGTGATAAATGAATCCAGAAGAAGTTGGTGAGTGAATGATTGAGTTAAATATTTTAACTTGAATTACAATGAAGTTGTTTTCGTGTTGAAGAAATTGAAATTCTAACTTTGCACTTCAATGATGCAAGCGTCGTGGACAAGTTTGTCAATTGCAATCGTGCGAAATGCTCACTGACTAGGTTTGCTCGTGCATTGAATTTATTAGTTGTCTAGTCACGTGGTAGGCTCACGAAAACGTTTAGAAATTTTGGCGGTTAATTCACTTTAAACACTACTGCGTGGGTGCTAGGAAATTTGTCCCGGCTTTCCCGCATTAAAGAGTTGAGGTTAAAAATAGGCTTGAGGTTTAAAAATTTGCGACAAAACGCGAGTCAAACAGCAAGATTAGAGCGGACAAACTCTTTCTTTTAGCCGCGTACGAATAAAGAAAAAACTCCTGCTTGGTGTATAACAATAAAAGAAGAAAGTATTTATTTACAACATATACAGAAAAAAAAGGTAAATGGATAAAAGGGCGATTAGTAGAGAAAGAAAGGGAAAAAAGAAAATGTTCTTAACTTAAAAAGGCTTGCTCAAAATATTTCTCTGGGCGCCTAAAGAGTTCTTTAAGCGATTAGATATTATTGTTAAGGTTCAGATAGATACACTCACAGTTCTTGTAGAGTTGGAAATTTGTTCGCAGATGAAGGAATCCTGCAGCTGAGTGAGTTTTTAAGTCGACAACAGAAGTCCAGTGGGCTCGTCAGTAGGAGTTGGTGAATGGATGCAGCTTTGGATTGGTCTAGAATAGTGGACCGACGTTCGTTTTTGACAGCCCTTTTTAGTAGTTCTTCTTTGGTTAAAGAGGTGCTGGAGCTCCCTAATGTCGACCTCACAGATGGTGGGCAGAAATCTCACTGTCGGAATAGGCAAGATTCTCCAAATTTATGGAGTTTTGGTAGGCTCCGATGGATCGGGGACTTTTCCCTCTAAAATCGTTGTACAAATTTCCTGGCCCCTCTATTGGTCAGAAAACACATTTTTATCTCTGATAAGAATCAGGGCTCTGGGAGCCGGTTTCGAAGGTACTGAAAACAGGTTGAAGTGAAGAAGCTGTGAGATTTCTCCCAGACTTTATGGCACCATGGAAAGAATAAATGGTGGTGGAATTCCTTTTTATTTTCCAGCTCTCTCCTTAGTCAGAAAATATACTCTTATCTCTTATAAGAATCAAGGCCTTGGGAGCCGGTTTTGAAATTAAAAAGAGGTTTGAGTGAGGATAGAAAAAATAGCGAGAATGTGAACTTGTGAAATTGTTGTTCTCAAATTAAATTCCAACATGGGTGTTGTTGCCATTTTTCATATATATTGAACAGTCGGCAATAGCATTTACAAAAAAATAATTTGGATCCACTTCGTGTTTAGGGTGTACAAAATTTATTATCAGCAAGAGTAAATATATAGTAAATGTCCTCGATTATTTATTATCCAATGAAATTCACTAAATCAGAATAGTATGATAATTAGATAGTGGGAATTAGTGTATAGAGATTAAACTCTATAAGAGGAAAAAGGGAGGTAACCTATAGTTGCTGGAGTTTCAAGTTTTGGTTTTTTATTGATTGAGGCATCCTTGATGCTAAAAATCATGATTATAAAAAAAAATTGGAAAATTAAAGCAAAAAGTAATCTGAAACATAAAACAATTTGAGAAGAAAATGTATAGCGTTCGGAAAAATCATAGTTTATTTAAATTTTCATGTTCTATATAGTTCAAAGATTTTTTTTTATAAAAGTATGAATAAAAAACATATTTTTATAGTTATTTATTTATAAAATGTTAAATAATAAATATTGCATTGTAGTTGATTCACATATTTTAAACATTTTATAGATTTTATAAATTTTTGAATAAGTTTTCTTTTCGAACTTATAATAAATCTTTTAAAACTGGTTGTGATGAATTGTGCAAATGCAAACCTCATTATCTCCCTTAGCCTGTTCCCTTTAAGTAATCAAAATCGCAATAAAGATTCGCCGCAGGTCAGTCATCCGGCACATAAATAGTGTTCGACTTATTTCTTTAGATGTGTACAACGTCATATCATAACAATTGTAAATAATAAATATCGCATTGTACTTGTTTATATATTTTTTATAATCTTGTAAATAAACATTGCCGAGGAAGTCTCAGTAATAGCGGTGTCGATAGAAAAACCGTACTTTTTTTTGAAGAGCAATGAAGGTTAGACTTTTTGCTAATTTTTCTTTCAAAGTGTTTACTTTTATTACCTAACTCTTCAGTAAAATCTTTTCAAATGATTCGATTATCATTTATTTTGTTCAACATGAAAAATTTAATATTAACAAAAAAATAAATAAAATAAAATAGTAAGAAAAAGAAAACGTCAAGTAATACTCTTACTCCTCAACTTATAATTTCTGTAGGATTATTCGAATAAACGGTTAAACGTCATGAATGCAATTGCAATCTTTTTTTTCTCTTGTAAAAACTGAAACAAACTACTTCAATCAACCAATGCAGTTCTGATTTAAAAAAAAAAAAAGGCAATATAATGTGATAACTAAAAATGGACAAATAAAATAGTTCCGTATTTAGCTTTAAATTCTTAAAAAAATAATAATTTGAAACAATCCTTATCTTTGTTTTTAATTAATTAATTAATGCAATAAAGAAGAAATGAAACGGAACTTTGTGAACGGTTACCGGTCAAGGGAGATAACTCCGAATTATTACAGAGGGTAATATGTCGATCGGGTCTGTTCATGTAAGTTTTGCAACCTTTGTTTTTATTAAGTCTTACGCTAATTATATTATAAATCCGTATAATTTGGGTTAAAGTATGATTATTTTTGCTACACGGAATAAACCTCGTAAATATACATGTATCTTTCAACTTGTTTGTAAGTGTAGTCTTTTCTCTTTCGTAAACGATCTTATTCTTATTGTTTTCTTTTACTTGTGAATTTTAAAAACGAAGTCAATATTCATTCCCTCCATAATATTTGTTACTTGAATTTGTATAAAACATTTTGTTGTGATTCAACTTCTTTCATCCCTCTAAAAGAATTATCAACAATTTTTTATTGTCTAGCATGGGGCCCGGAAAATACTTCACCATGGCCATTCTTCATCTTGTCTTGAAAGTTAAATAAACAAAAAACTTCCCATTTTCATTCATACAGCAGAAGTGATCGATTGATGAATTGTTTTTTTTTTTAAATTAAAAGGTGTATTTTAATTTTCGAACTGAATTTGACAAATTCTTTTTGTGGGGTGGGTGAAAATTAAAAATAAAACGAAATCGGGGAAAAAACTGTCTTACTCTTCTTAAGTTATAAGAAGACTCGAATTATCAAGTTTCACATTAACTCTTCTTTGATATTTTTTCCTTAAAACTACATAAAGTAAAAAAATAAAAGCAAAAAACTTAATTTTTGTATTTTCAATCAATGGTTGCAAGAAAGAAATACGACAACAGTAGAAATAGATTTACGTGGTTTATTTCAACAGGAAGTGAGGGTTTGGGACAGCTACCTTGGTGTGGTGAAGTTCATAAGCCGGCTTTCGGATCTAGGTCGATCTCTCATAGTAGTTCACACATGTTGACGGTGGTTGACGCTCTCCTGCTGACAGCTGCTAAACGTGACCGGTCTCCTTTGTGGCCACCTGTTGACGATATTCAGTCCCCCCCCCCACGAGGGTGTCATGTGGCACAAGGCCTTTTTAACGTGGGCATTCCCGAGCCATTAGGCTCGGCCAAAAAATAGCCCATTTGAACCCGTATAAACGGGTTCAGGGCCGGTTTTACCTCCCCGAAGAAGACTCCGCCCTTTGGCGTAGCCTCCTTCGGGTTCCTCCCGCCCGTAGGAAGAGAGTTAAACCGAACAGTCGGTTCAGAGTTGAACGACTGACACCTGTTGACTGCCGCTGAACTTCCCTGTGACCCCTTTTATAGCGTTTTTTATGGCTTAACAGGCTCGAGAAACAAAGCGAGTATAATTAGGAGGGAAGCATTTTTATTGGACGAAAAATAGAGCACTTTAATTATTATTTTATTTTTCGACCGGAACACGTGTGTCGGAAACATTTGTAAAGAAAGTTAATGGTCATTTTGTGACGGGGCTTTGTCCCGTTCACATCCTGTTCTCGCTCTTGAGTATTTGCCTGTAAATCAGCCGAGATATGTGTTTTTATTTTATAACAATTGAAAAATCTGTCATATATTACTACTGAAAAAAATAATGTGATGTTACGTCGTGTAATTTGAGAATTAATTAATAATACGTAAATAAAAATAATAAAATTATTTCTACTTTGCTTCTTTTTTAAAAATTACTCTTATTTGGAAATTTCAAATTCTCACAACTTTCTTAAGTCTGGATATGTGTATTCGTCCCAATATTCCTGTTGAGGCCGCTTTAAGACTGCTACTGTTTTAGTATTTTGTAATTTCTTTTTTAGTGTTTTGTAACAGCATCAACTACTTGATTAAGAAGCTGATGCTACTCATTCTTACAAATCATAAAAAAAATGCATCTATAGAGGGATTGAAAGGAGAACGAGCGAAGACGACTTAGTGCTACCATTGATATTTGAACCTTTATAAATGAAATTGTAATATTTGCAGTGTTTCCTTCCTAGTCATTTATTAGATACCACCACAGAATTTTGTTTAGGATGCAGGGGGTTACAGGGAGTGAAATAGAATTAGACTTTAGACAGTAGGAGGATTAAGTAGTAATAACACCATACGAAAATATACACTTTCCTCTTTACTAAGTGAATGACAAAAGAAAACTCTCCCTGTCTATATATTTCCTTTCTTTCCTTCTATTGTTCTTATCCTTGTTAACGGACATGAACCTGGATTTAGTTTATGTGGATCAGTGAACATCATAAAAAATCAACCAATGACAACACATCTCACCAAAAATCAAACAGGAAACACAGATGTGTCAGCCCCAATAAAATGAAGAAAATCATGTATGAAACTAGAGACGCTGCAGTGGAGAGGAACTTGATTTGAGTTGGTGATTCATCGGCTGTGAGTTTGACCTGACGTACAACTCCAGAAGAGAAAGAAGAAGAAAGGATGAATGCAACAAATTAATTTCCGCCAAGCAGAAGGAACACAACAACCCTGTATGAACTCTCAAATCACAAAAAAAAAAGAACTATGATGATAGTCAACCATTTTAAACCCTGTAAACCAAATGGAGTCAACAATAAATGGTACTATAGGCAGTAAATTTGACCTTTACTTCATCTCTATAGACCATAAGACTTTATTGAAGAGAAGTGAGGAACAGGATTCAAGAACATAGAATAGGGAATTGCATTTTTAAAATTTTTAAAGATTGTTGGTGGAAAGGATGTAAGTGGAAAGGAGTTCCACAGGTGAGAAGTGCAAAAAAAGAAATTATTAGAATGCCTGTTGCATCTAGCTAATTCACCAGTAAAATGGTGAAACCTGGTTGACAGTCTAGTAGCATGCTTCATGTAGTTGAGGCACTAAGGAAAAAAAATTAATCAGAATAGTTGCCATGAAAATATTTGTAGAAAAGACAGAGGGAAGCCATGTCACATCGGTGGGAAAGTGACAAGTCTAGATGCCAGGTCAGGATCAATTACATTTCAATGTAATTGATCCTGACCCTTTGAATTATGTCATGAATATCACTCAAGAGTCATGATATATATTAGGAGTACCAGACCAGATATGGCAGCAACATTCAATGCACAGATGAATGGTAGATTTATAAATATGCATGATGGATTCTGACAAGAAAAATTGTCTCTCATGACACAGTGAACTAACTTTCCTAGCAATTGATTCAATATAATCATTCTACTTCATGTCAGTGGAAAACGTGAGTCCAACAAAGTGGAGAGTGTTGCTCCCCTGGGTTTAGCATCAGCCATGCCGTTGGCAGGTAGAAAAGATTCTCTATGGTGATTAAATGAAAGCAGTATTGTTTTAGGTGTTTAAATTTACAAAGCACTCCTTGACCTGTCTAACCACTGATTGGAGGTTTTTTTTGAAAGCAGTTGCCAGATTTACTTTTTTGGACTTGCTACAAAGACAGAAGTAAATAGTGGTATCATCTGCATAAATACCTAATTGGGTCTTTGTATAAAGCTCAGAAAAATGCATTAAATAACTTACCTGCCCTCTTTGAACTCATCTTTCAAATAAAACTGAAATTAAAGGGCCTAACACTTAACCAAATTAAAAAAAAAAATTCTGTGTATTAGAGTTTTTAGACATTTTTAAAACATTCACATGTTCACTTATTGATTCACCATTATACATGAAACATGTAAACTAAAAAAATATTTTTTAAATCTCTTACAAATCCAATACTTATCTTAGAGATATATTTTGAAATCATTTAGTAAATTTAAAGATTAACTGGATTTTATAAAAGTAATGTTTACTTTTTTAAAATTAAAAAAAAAGGGTTTAAGTATTGTCGCCTGTAGAGTCATAGGCCAAAAATACAATATGTATAATGACACCCCTGGCTCAAAAAGTGCATGAAAAATTAAAAATGAAAGAAATATAGAACACCAGCAGTGCAATAATCAAGAAATTGGTATTTATGCTTAATGATAATTTATCTTTAACCATATATAACCAATACTAGTTTAAGAATTACTTTTTATTCTATGCAATTTTTTTAAACTTTTGCTTGTAATTTTTCTGTGCGATTTTGAAATTCATTCCATTGCTGTTCATAATAAGAGTTTTTTTTTGTTTTATTAAATAAAGACGTTTGAAGAATCAAAAGATGTATAAAGTTTAATGCAATTTCCTAGTGTGAACTTTTTTGAAAGAATTTTATTTTTCATTAAAAATAATCTAACATGTTAGATTATGTTTTTGTACAACAATTCAAAAAGGAAATATTAATTATGTGACTATAAGCAGTTAACAATATCAGTCCAATCAATATATTTTTCTTTTTTTATAGCACTTGTTTTAAAAATCAGAATTAAAAATTAATTAAAAATGATTACATTGGATGAAATTAAATATTTTATGATATCAAAAAAAATATTTTTTACCAAGAGTTTCTAAAGTAATTTAATTCATTTGTTAATAATTTCTGAAAGTTTAATTAAATTTAACAATCATTTGATTTTTGCAAGATTTTTCAAATTAATGTATTTTTCACTGCAAAAATAGTAATTTAGGTCACTCATTGATGCATGATAAACGAAATTTTTAAGGTTCTAAAAAGGATTAAAAATATAATCAAAAAATTATTTCATCTTTTCTCTTAATACTAACAAAGAATTTGACAATAAAACTTTGGTTTTATTAAGTTTTGGGCATTTTTTTCATCATGTATGCTAATTTTTTAGTGACTTTTTGGAAGTATCCCCCCCCCTCTCTCTATATATATATATATATTTGTGTATTTAGGCAGCTATCCTTCTTTCATGCACATTTCATTGAATACGACAGACAAGGTGCTTTTATTTAGTTTTTTATACAATTTCTCATGCGATCTAATAATTTTCATCTTTTCAGTTGATAAATTATATAAAAACTGTCCAAATGTTCTTTTTATCTGAGTGCTTTCAGCTATACATTTAGCCATTTTCAAAGATTAAATATTTTAATTGTTAAATAAGAAATAGTTTGTTGCATGTGTATTTTATAAAATGTTTTCATTTTTCAAAACACGGTCAAGATATTGTGTTCATGTTCATAGTTAATATTATTAACTTTCTTTGATGTTCTCATCGATTTTAGTAATAATAGTTTTAAAACTTCTGTTTATAAAAGAACATATTTGTATTGGAGCTTCCAGTGCGAATGCCAAGCAGTACAGCATTCCATTTCCAAATTTCTGGCAGAGTGAATTGAATCATACTATACTGTGTAGTCAATAAAATAAAAATGAACAATGCACATTAAAAATATAAAATGGCGACAATTTACCCATCGCATCTTGTATACACGCACATGCACATATATGCCACGGATGAAACAAACGTACAGCATCAACTGAAGAAAAGTAATGATGTTTATTTAAAATTTGCAGTGTGCAACATGTTCATTTTACACAGGGCTCAACGATGAAAGCTGTTCCTCAAGTGCTTTGTCTTAGAACTAATAGATCTAAAATGTCACCATGAGGATAACATATGGAACAAGTGATACCCAAAATGTGTGCTTTCATTGTTTTCTGCTCTGCTGTAACTGAGAATTAGAAATGTTCTTCAAGCAGGGTAGCAAGTGGATTATTTTCTTAGCAACATTTATATCCCTCCAGAAGGCCCTCTTATTTGCTGCTGAGTAGCTGGCATACCAAACAGTGATGTCATATATCAACACATTCTCAATAGAGCAGAGATAGATCTCTGAGAATTGGTAAATAGAGTTGCTTCTATGCCGTCTTGACTATCACGGTGATATTGCTAGACCAGGAGATCATCTACAATGTACATACCCAGAAACTTAATTTTATCCACCCTTATGTTTCATTACAGAGGATCTCTCTTGGATTAGCAATAACATTGTGATAGTCCATAAGGCACAGCAGTGACTCTATTTGTTGAAAATCATTAGAAAAATAGTTTACAAAGGGAGCTGCTTATTCATTAATCTTTCTACTAAGTTTCATAAAAACATATAGAATAAAAAGATTATATTCTTAAACTATATAAGGTTAAAGATTATTTTTAGACATAAGCTATACTCATTTCTTGATTGCTGTACTGTTGGTCTGCCATATTAAAAAAAATTTTGTTCATTTTATTTTTTTTAAACTAGAGAAAAATTAGAAAACTACTGTTGTTGATCTGTGATCTTGATGACAACTCACCTTAAACATTTTAGCTATTTTTTAAGCAAAAAGTAAGTATTACTTTTACAAAATCCACTTAATTAATCCTTAAATTTAATTACTTTGAAATAAATCTCTAGGACAAATATTTGATTTTCAAGAGATTTTTTAAATATATTGCTTTCATTTTTCATCTATTATGGAGGTTTGATGAATGATGTTTGACCATGACATTGTTTTAAAAATATCCAAAAGGTCTTACATATGTAAATATTTTTCTCTTCTTTTTCTGGATTCACTTTAAATTATCTTTCAAATAAAACCAAAATTTAACTTCTAAGAAGAGATTCAACTTATTTAAAATGTTTTTTTAGTAAGTTCGTACTGGTATGTCATGAAAACAAATAATTAGAAAACTACCTATAACAATTGATAATCAGAAAAGCTCTTTATTTTGATTTAGAAGAAATGAATAAATCCTTTTGCAAATTTTACGATAAATTTTAAAACCTGATTTTTCTTTAAACTTGTTTTCCTGTTCCAACAGAATTTTCCTGCTTTGAAGAATGACCTCATTCTTAGAGCTGCACGTGGGGAAACCACAGAACATGTTCCTGTCTGGGTAATGAGACAAGCAGGTCGTTACTTACCAGGTAAGTTTGACTTTCAGCAGGGGAAATGTGACGTTATAGTTCTTTATAGATGTTGGAATAGGGAACAAGTAATTTCTTTTCCGGTATAATTTAAAAGCGGTCTCTATCTTATCTAAGATGATTACACTTTGGCTAAGATTTTGAAGATGTTAATTCTATAAGGTTATTTCTTAAACATTTCATTTCATATGGGAGATAACTCTATCTTCAAGAAAGAATCATAATTCAATTTCTCATTCAATATCTGCAATTTTTTTATGTTTGTCAGAATTAACCTCATATTTTCAATGTGTTGTGGATGAATTCTTCCCAAAAGAATGACTACTGACTCTTTCATTAGCATCAACAATTTTCTAAGCTTCCTCTATTTTTACTCTGATATACTGATGAAATTTATTTTTGTGAAATTTTCCTTTTTACAGAATTCAAAGAGGTCAGAGCCAAATATTCCTTCTTTGAAGTTTGCCAAACTCCAGCATTGGCATGTGAAGTCACTCTCCAGGTACTCCCCTCTCCTTATATAACCCACTTAGAATTGGACAGTCAGATCCATTACATTTACTTACATGCTAAAACCCTTAGGAAAAGGTATGAATCCTCCTCCCACCTCTGGGTAAATAGCAGGACAGACCAGGTTCTATAGCAACTGGTCTACTGCAGAAAGAAATGGCAACCTACTGCGGGAAAAAATCTGCCTTGACAGTCATGTATCAAAAGATACATGATCACCTAAGCGAGTTTCATGCACGGCACATAACTGAACTGATTAGACATGAAGCTCCTATTCACAAAACTTCTTTCTGCTACTGATTAGGATTCATTTAGTCATTTTCTTCAAAACGCCTGCTTAGATTGATATTTTTAATCTTAAAGAGAATTGTGCCACTGAGGTTTCTTCTTGGGTTAATCAACACTTTTATACCCTCTTAGAAATACTAGGTGAAATCACAATCTTCTTGGTTCACACTTACCTGTTCAGCCACTATAGCCCACATGAGAGAAGCAGAGGAGATTGTAGTGAACATGCCTGCCCCTCCAAGTATCAAAAATGGACTGTTTATAAATAGTTTTGTTTGTACTAACTGTTCTACTGTGTTGAATAAAACCTAATTTGGGTCACTCTGCTCCGTGTCTTTTATTACATCCCTGCAACAGCCCTTAAGAAATATGCCACTGTTCTAAGCTCTACTATAAATACCTTGCTGCTTCTTACTTTCATGCTTGTTGGAAATCCTCCTGTATAGTTCCAGTCTTTAAGAACTCTGACAAACCATCTGAATCTTGTGTCAGCCTTTTATCTCTTTTTGCCAAAGTACTAGAGGTAGAACTCTAAATTGGTTAAGCATCTCACATTGCACGGTCTTTTTCAGATATGCAATATGACTTTTGCTACTCTGAGTTCACTCTTAATATATTTGTAGTTATTGTTGAAAGAGTCTATCAAGCTTTAGATAATGTTGAAGCTTGGGCTGTTGCATTGGATATCTTGAAGACATTTGACAGCTGGTCTTCAACACATGTTGAAATGTCATAGTATTTTGTATCAAATTGTTGAAATGAATATTGTCTTGACCACTTTTCTTGATCTTTTTGCATTAATACAGGTGTCCCCCAGGGTTCTATCCTTTGATTTATATCATTTCTAATTTTCATCAATGACATTCCTGATGTCATCAGTTCTCAACTCTATATTTATGCTGATGACACACCTATTTACTCCTGTCTGATTGATTCAATAAGGTCAAATTGACAGCTGAGCTAAAAAATGACCTACAATTTGTTGTTAACTGTGGTAAGAAATAGCTTGTTAATTTGAATGTCTCCAAAACAAAACTGCATCTTTCAATGGTCTTAGAGAAGCTTTTTTGCCTTCCATCAGCATAGCTGATGCTAACCGCTAGGAAAATGACTTATGATTTTTCAGGCTAACATTTTTCCCTGGCATGAAGTGGAAAGATTAGATTGAATCACTTCTAGGTCAGCTGCTAGAAAAATTCATTCACTGTATTGTGCTAGACAATTTTTCTTCCCAGAAACTATCTTATACATTTATAAGTCTATCTACCATTCAGCCATTAATTTTTTTTTTATTTTGTTTTAGTTATTTTTAAGTTTACTTGTTTGAAAGTGGGATGAACAGTCATTTTGAGTTTGTTCAAATGAATATTTTTTTTTAATTCCAATTTTTCAAAAAAAAAAATTCACTTTGAAATTTTTCTTCTTCAGCCAATCAAGCGTTTTGATCTTGATGCAGCCATTATCTTTTCGGACATCTTGGTTATTCCACAGGCCTTAGGAATGACAGTAGAAATGGTTCCTGAAAAGGTGAGTTAATTTGCTGGTTTGATTTTGTAATTTCTTTAAAACTGGCTTTGAAAACTGACAGGCATTTTAGTGGCTGATGCAGGCAAGTAGAAAAGAACAGATTGATCTGACAAGATAAGTTTTTTTTAGGTTACGTTGAAACTCATAATGCATTTTAAAATTTACCAAAATTATAATTTCCATTAATTTATAAAAATTTATAAAAACGTTCTAAAAAATAAATTCTTTTTTTTTTCTAAGAAAAAACGTCTGCTAATATATTTTTTGCACAAATTCTCTTTTCTGCTTCTTAAAATTTATAAAAATTATAATTTCCATTAATTCATAGGAATTATAGAAAATAAAAACTTTCTAAAAAAAAAAAATATTTTTTTTTCTTTTAATATCTGCTAATTTTTGCACAAATTCTCTTCTCTGTTTTAAGAAGATTCTGAATTCATTGGAAAACTTGTTAAAGAATTGATACTGTTAAAATTTTCATAATAGAAATAAATAAATTTTAATATCTATTTTGTTTTCCTTTTATAGGGTCCTACATTTGATGAACCTTTAAGAAAAGCTGAAGATTTGGACAAACTGAACTCAAAAGTTGATGTTGAAAGGGAATTAGGATATGTCTTTGATGCTATCACACTCACAAGACATAAATTAGAAGGCAAAGTTCCACTGATAGGATTTTCAGGAGCTCCTGTAAGTATGAACATTTTATTTGAGCCAGTTTTTATTTTCACTTAGGTTTCTCTTGAGTGGAATGTTCAAATCTTTTCAAAATTTCAGTTGTTTGTTAATTGATTTGCCAGGAGAGAATGAAAATGAAAAATCATTTTTCAATTTCATAAATTATTTGATCCTTTCAGTGTCAGAAATAAATTTCTTGATCCAAAGAAATGTTTATAAAGATTTATATCATATTTATTGGGTGAATTTTTACAGAAAAATATCAATTATGTTTGCTTATTATTTGATATTGACTTTAAATTTATTGAAAACAAAAGCAAACTTTTCGAATGAAGATGCAGTTTTCATAATTTATATAATTATTTTTTATGGTAAACTGAGAAAAATCTCATGGTTTAATTTAGTTCCTTTTTTATGCAGAAATTGTTTTAAAGTCACAAAAATGATGAATATTTAACTACAGCAACTTAAGTAAATTTGTCTGTTCATATGTAAGCTTTATTTATAAGAAAAGAATTAAATATATTTCAAGTCATAGTTTAAGTCTTATAACTTTTATTGCCCAGTTATTCTTGTAATTCAAAGTTAATTTCTCTACAGTATTTTTTTTTCTATTAAAGTGGACTCTAATGTTCTATATGGTGGAAGGTGGTGGTTCAAATACAGCATCCAAAAGCAAAAAATGGCTATATACATTTCCTGAAGCTAGTGTGAAATTGTTAAATATCTTGGAGAATGTTATTGTGGATTACTTAGTGGGACAAGTAAAGGCTGGTGCCCAGGTAAGTAAAAACTTGTTATAGAGACAAAAGAACTCACCTCCTTTTGATTATTTAATTCCCCAAAACATGTGGCTTGCCCAGAAGTAATTTTGTCTCATGCAATTATTGCAGATTTTAATTGTGAGACAAAAAAAGCCTGTTTAAAATAAAAATTCTTTTCTTGTGTGTCATTATTTAGCAAAATCTGAAGATGTGATATGAAATAATGTTCATATTTGATAATTTGGTTTGGATTTGTAGCTATTTGCCTTTCCAACCATTGCCAGGTGTATATTGCAGATGGTAATCTTCATTTTGTATAACTATCTCCCCCTATACACACATTAAAAAGATTTTTCTGGTATAGAGTTAGTCTTGAAAAGGTACTGCTTGAAACAATAAAAAAATGAAGATACAGTTAGAGAGATTCAAAATTCAATCAATACACTATCAAATAGTAAATGATTTTACTTGTAGTTTGAAAATTGGTGTAAAAACAGGAAGCCATTGCCAAGAAATAAAATGACAATTACCATATTAGCACAAAAATGAGAATTTGTTTGGAAAAAGTGCAGGATTTATTGAAAAAAGTAAGGTTAGGTGAAAATGATGAAGAATGCAATTAATTCAAATTTGTCCTATGAAAATAATGATGCAGCAAGATCATCATCAAATGAAAGTGTCACAAGTGAAGAGAATGTTGATAAGAACAATGACAGATCATCTGCAAATTAATTCAACAACCAGGACGATGATAATAGTGACTTAAAATTAAACCTTAAAATAATTTGCCTATAAGGTAAGGAGTGATTATTTTTTTCTTTATTTCTAAGATGTTAAATTGCTTCAAGGATTTTTAAAAAATTAATATTTATATCCGATTCTCTTTGTTCTTCACAAATTGATTTTGCATTGTTGCTTAGTATCATTTCTTGACAGCATTCACATCTACATTAGTTCAATAAAAATTTTACTTTCCCAGTAATATAATACTATCTTTTGTAAGAAATTATTACATTCATTTCTCTTCCTGTTGTTAGATTGCTATTTTGTTTTCTTTTTTAGTGTAGATTTAAAAAAAATAATTTGCACATTGTTTTCATTTTCAGCTTCTACAATTATTTGAATCTCATGCTGGAATTTTGGGACCAAATCTTTTCTTTCGGTATGCTATGCCTCGTATTGAATCCATTGCCAAAAGAGTCAAGCAGAAATTAACAGAACAAAAATTGGATCCTGTTCCAATGGTAAGTTTGAGTGTTGAGATTTCCCTTTGTTGTCAGTTCATTGCAACATAATTGAATTTATTAACAAATACTCTTTTTAACAATTACAATCCATTTGTTGACTTGATGCAAAAAAAAAAAACAATAACATTTTTACCAAGATTTTCTAAAAAATAATTTCATACATTTGTAAAAAAAGTCTTGAAAGTTTCATTAAAATCTGATAATTCTTTGATTTATTGCAAGAATTTCCAATTTCCTATACTTGTCTTTTTAAAAATACAAGAATTTTAACCAAAATTTCGAATGTTCTAAAAGGGATAAAAAAAATATAACAACATAATGATTTTGATGATGTATTTTTTCAGCAAATCAGTGAAAGGTACCTATACTAAAATTAGTATATTTTTTAACTAATAAAAGAGAATTTTGTCAAAATTTAATAATGAATATGTTTCATTTTAGTCATTAATTTTTCCCTGTCAATATTAGTAGGTAATAAATGTAATATTGGATGATAAAAATGAGTTCTAGTTTAGAATATTTGATTTTCCCATTTCATTGAACAATTTGTGGTTAAGTAGGTAAAGATAACATTCATTTTAGACATTTTCTCAAAATATGAGCTTGAATCATTTTTTACTAGTGTCATTTGTTGTTCTTTTTATTACATGAATCAATTAAGGTATGTAATTTACTTTCTTTTCCTATTTGCCTGTATTTAGATTATATTTGCCAAAGATGCACATTTTGGCATCAAGGAACTCAGCACCAGTGGCTATGATGTTGTCTCTTTAGACTGGACAATCGATCCAGCAAAAGCTAGGTGAGATTTTTTGTTTCTCTCAAAATGCATGAGAATTTTGGACTGGTTACTGTCACTCATATAGCAAAGTCATTGGCCGTTAAACCAAGTTGATAAGAATTTTAATAGAAATTGAAAATTTCAGAGTATTGACTAGTTTTTAAATTCTAAAATCCATTTGTATTTAATGTTAGGGAGAAAAGATGTTTGTTTCTTTATTTTGAAAATTTTTTTAATTCTAACTGACTTTAATTTGTAACATGACAAATAGTTTTATCACAAAATGTGTAACATAGCTTTTCCTTTAATGTATTAAGGTCCAAATAGTAGGAAATGAAATACTTACATTGAAATCAATTCTGTTAGAACAGGTAACATGGCTTTATAGCCTGTTACTATTAAGCTTCCTCTCTTTAGCCTGAACATAAAACTTTTCATATAGTAAGCAAATTTAGAACTTTTTAGAAAAAAAGTAATTTGGCAATATTACAGAGATGATCAGACTTTAACAATTGCTTTTGTTTATTCAGCATGGCTGATGCTAACCTCCAGGTGTGTGACTCATTGCACCTTTTTGGATGAACATTTTCTGCTGATATGAAATTGAAAGATTAGATTGAATCAGTTGCTAATTCTGCAGCTAAGAAAATTGGTTCACTGTGTTGAAAAATTGTCTTGCTCGACACAGTGAATCATCTTTGCTCACTAGAATCTATCTTATATATTTATAAATCTACCATTCATCCTTGCTTTTAATATTGCTGCCACATCTGGTCTGGTGCTCCTGCTATATATTTAGAGATTCTTGATAAAATCTAAAGAAATATTTGCAATGTTATTGGTTCTGATATGGCATCTCGGCTTCAGTCATTTTACTACTGCTGTAATGTAACTTCCTTATGCCTTTTCTATACTTTCATGGAAATTGTTCTGATGAACTTTCCTCTATGGTACCTAGACTCTATGAATTAAAGTGCAGTACCAGATTGGCAGCAAGGTTCCTTCATTTTATAGTTGAAATGGCTCGATGTAACCATAAGTTTTATGCTAACAATTTCTTCTATCGCACTTCTCACTTGTGGAACTCTCTTCTGGTTTCTTGTTTCTCTATCAACTTTTATCTACAAAAATTTAAATGCAATGTCGATTAGGATCTTCTCTCTTAATTCTTGTCCTTTTATTGTCTTTTCTCATTAATAGTCAATTTTTCTCATTCTCTAATACTCAGTAACCCCTTGCATCTTAGTGGCTTTATTGTCTTGCAAGGAATGAAATGATAAAAATAAATTAGCCTAAAATGTTACATTTACAAACATTTTATTGGAGAAACATACTTTTGCTCAAGTTTAGTGGGCTAAACTTTCATTTAGTGCTACAAAAGAGAACATGATTTTTTATTTAGTGCGCAAATTATTTTCTGAATCACGTGAATTTATTATAAGCACCTTGATGTAGGGTAAGAGTTAGATGAACTAGTCTAAGAGACCATTAGTACAGTGTTCTTCACACTTGTGGCTTTGGGCTAAACAAAGCTAAGTTTAGTCTATTTATCTATATTGATTGGTTGGGAGGTGGGTAGTGTTTCCAGGAAAAGCTTTTTGATACAATGTTGTCTTGTTTATTACATAAAGTTTTGAGGCCTTGGCATAAAATTTCTAATTTCGTAATGAGACATTTGAATTCAGATCCAGTTATTCAGACAAATTAAAAATAATCGCCTCTTAAATGTCAGTTGGTAAGAAATGAATGTGAAATAGTCTCAAGGTTTTTTTTTTTTTTTTACTTAAATTATATTTCATTTATCCAACACAAAATTAAGATTTAACTTGAGATTGGTTCAGGTATGTTGCTGAAGACTTTCACTCTTATAGATTTGTTTTTTTTTTTTCTTTCTTTTTACAGAATAATTGTAGATTCTAAAGTCAGTCTGCAGGGCAATCTTGATCCGTGTGCCTTGTATTCTTCAAAGGTAATTTTTGCACTTGTTTTCCTAAAAAGCTTTTTCTTCATTCAGCTTGCCTCATTTGATTTTCCTTTCTAAATTAAACTTTTTGTTTTTTTTATTTTGAAATTGTATATTGTTTTTTCTTTACAGGAAGAAATTAGTATTCACGTAAAAAACATGTTGGAGAAATTTGGGACACAGAGATACATTGCTAACTTGGGTCATGGTGTTTATCCAGATTTTAATCCTGAACATGTAGGAGCCTTTGTTGATGCTGTTCATGAACATTCAAAATTAATGAACAAAAAACTTTAACAGTATCCTTGTTTGTTTTTTGTAGGTGTTAAAGAAGTGTTCCATTGCCTGATCATTTTTTGAGTTGCATAGGAATCAGATTTGACACCTTAACCTTGCCAGGACAAAATTAGACATTAGATGATGTAATTGTTTGATAACTCTTTCAAGATTTTATGTTGAGTGATTCTGCTGTCTGCGGTTACTCCAAACTTTCAAATATTATTATTTCATGGTTTCTATCAAAAGCAAGGGATATTTTTGGTAAAAGATTTTGTTTGTATATTCTCTCAGAAAAAAGAATTGTAGAAAAGTCATTGCTATTGAATTATAGAAGTGTTTATGGTCTCAATTGTTGGCTTCTGAAAAACAAAATCAGACATAGGTGAACATAAAAAGATATTAGCATCATTAACAAATATAGCATTATTTCAAAGTTGAGAGGTGGAAAATTATTTTGAATCAAAATAGAAAGACCTGTAGATTTTACAAGCACTCACTCAACCATTTTCTTCTTTATTCATGGAATTTTCAAATAGCCATTCTTGCTATCAGAAAAATAGAAACTCAATAACTGTCTGCATTATATAGAGGTGAAGATATTTTTTTTGCAGAAATATGGTAATTAGGTTTTGAGTAAAAATCCAAAACTGTTTCCCTGGTTTTGAAATTTGTTGGTTTATTTTTGGCATATAAGGATAGAATTTGGTGAAGGGTAAAAGAACAAATGAAAAGTTCTTAGACTGATATTTTAGAAACTCTTTACAAGCTGCTGCAAAATTTCCCCTTTAACCAAATGTTGGTGGGGGAGTGAAAGAAGAAACTATTTTTGTAGATTAATTTTTCATTTATTGAGAAATAAATTCTTTTATATATATTTGGTCTCGTTTGATGTCTTTTCTTATTTACAAGAATTTTAATTGATTTATTAAGTACATGAGGGACACATTCAGACAAAAAATATATTGGAGGGAATGCAACCTGTTTGTGTTGGATCATTGTGCATTTCCTGTTACCAATGTTGTCTTAAATGAAGATCTCAAATGCTGGTTTTCAAGGCAAGCTTTCTTCACTTGGAAAATTAGCACAACACTCTTCCTATTCTTCATTACAAATGAGAGTGGTAAGAATCTTATATTGTGGCGCAGAGCAATGGCCACCCTTGAAATATTAATAATTATAGTAATATAGAATTTTGTTTATAGATGAGAAAAATAATCTGGGTGAAGTTTGTGCCCAGAGAATCTGTGCTTCATCAGAATTATTAATATAACATGTCAAAACAATAGTGTTTATATGAATTATGGAATACCAATTGGGAAGAAGAGACGACTCGTTTAATCATGAGGGGGAGAGGTGAGTAATCAGGTTGTAACCTAAGTTTTTGTTGCTACAACTGCATTTATTTAAGCGCGTGTTTGTGTGAAAAAAAGTCAGTTGAAGTTTGGAGTTGGGTGAAGTTAGTTGACAAACAACCTTGGCCACCTGCCATCATGCAGGGCACTGCTGCTGCTGTCACCATAATAAGAGTTGCAGACCGCTACCATCGCCACCTTCACCATCACCATGTCTGCTTACTACTGTGATAAGGTTAATGCTGAGTGAATTAACTACGGCCACTACTAAAAACAAAGGGTGAACCTGAAAACTACTACTCTCCTTTCAGAATTATTTGCAATATTTGTTTTTTTTTCTAGACTTTATTTCATATACACTACTTGTAAAAGAAGCATTATTCTTTTTGTACCCATTCCTTATCTACATATACATAAATTTTTCTTTGGACTTGAATCAACTTGTTCATATTTGATTTTTCTGCTTGGCCCGATTCTCGCCCCAACAAACTTGCAGGTAGACCAATTGAATCTTCCAGGATCTATGATTTGTTAATTGCTCTCCAGGATCAAAAAAAATCACAACATGGCTGGAAAGTGGAATCAAATCAACATTGTGAACTGGAGACTTTAAACCTGTAATACTGGATCAACAGACGGCCTTGTAGAGTACGTTGATCCAGTGGAGCTCAGGATAGGTGTTACAATATGTTGAAGCAGAAAATGATAAAAAAAAAATCACTCAGATTTAAACTGCTAGAAAATTGAAGCAATCCGTATTACTGTGACTTGACCAATAATCTTTTACTTTATTTCTGAAATTGTAGTCCATTTAATCAAAGGCTCATTTTAATTGTATCAGCAGGCCCATACTTTTATAGTTAGACCCTCATCAAATGCATGTGGACATTCATGAAAATTTCTTTTGATGCAGGGCTAGATGAAAGTGAGATAAGGAAGGCCAAATCATTGCCTAGATTTATTATTACCTAAATAAATTCAATGAGAAAGTCTTTATCTCAAAATAAAGGAAGCAGCAGCAAATTGATGCTTAGATTTATTATTACAAGAATTCTGTCAATGAGCAAATTGATGCATTGCTTATTCCTTTTGCTACAATGAGCCAGATTATGAAAATAAAACAAATTATGCCAATTCTTGTACAATGATAAAATCAAACCCTAACATTCTGATACATATTCTCAGAAGAAACAAACTTAAAATAATTAAAAATATTTTATAACATTTTACGAATATTCTAACAGTTGCTAATGACACTTAATATAAGCAGAAAAAAAAAAAAAAAATAAAAAACATACATACTAACATTTTTTTTGTTTTTTTTAAATTGTTCACATTTTATGATTTAAAAATAGGGAGGTGGTTATTTAACCTAACATCTCGTTTTCAGAGTAGATCACTTGAATTTTGTGAAAATACACATTTAACTGATATTTCCTGATTTTTATTAAAACTAGATTAGGATTATCATTTTCAGTTCAATTACAGACAAGTAAATCTGAAGAAAGGAAAGTAAAATAATGATTTGCTTTTATTGAAGGAAAAAAAAATAAAAATTCCATAGAGTAATGATTCCCCCTCCTGCAAATAATTTTTTTTTTTTTTTAGAATTGGATTCCACTGAAGAGAGAAAATTTTCTGTAAACTTTTCATAAAATTAGGAATCTACAAAGTTTTTTTTTTTCTCAAATGTCAAAATAATTTGGAAAAGTGAGCAGAAAAATGCTGAAACAATGAGTTGGGTTGAAGTATAAAAATGGATTAGTGAGGAAAATTGAAAAACATTTTTCTCTTAGCTTTTAACATTTATTTTTTTTTTTTTTTTATTCTCCTTTATAAATACTCAATCCCATGTCAGCAACTTATTTAAAAATCAGTCCTCTACCTACCATGTTAATTTGTAGTAATGATTCACTAGTCTGGTACTGAGATGAAAACTACTCTTTGGTTTTGTCTATTTCAACAATTGTCTGACTTATTTTTATTTTCTTAGACTTTAGAAAAGGGAGTGGGGATGGAGACCCAAAGAGCAATTTAATGTTTAAATGCTCTTTTTTTTGTGCATGTATTTTCTAATAAATTCATGTCTAAATATAATGATTAAGAAAGGAACAAGAAAACCTTTATAAAGTTAACATTTTTTTCTATTTAACTTCAGATTTTTTTTTTTTTTCATGCAGAGTAGTTTTGATTTTTAAATTTTATATAGTTTGCAATTCATATTTTCAAATCATCTGAATCGAAAGTCCTCTACCATCATAAATCTAGTTCAGAGATTACAAAACTGAAGTTAATCCTCCTAGGGTGTTCTGTGCTAAGCTTATATATTGAAAAGAATGTTGGTGGACATACAAGGCATGTCATTCTTATGCCTTCAGCATAAGGGGGTTGATAAATAAATATGCAAACTGCAATCAAAGCAAGAGGTAGAGAGCAAGTGAAAATAACATCTAAATATGAGGTTGGAAGGATTTAACTTTTTACCTACTGTACACTTGAAAAAGGAAAGGTAGCGTCCCTGTAAATGAAGGAGAGGAAAGATCATTGCTGAAAATCTTGAACTAAGATTATACTTAATAACTGGATTTATTCAAATAAGTGACCTAAAAATTTTGAGCAGTGAAATCTTCAAATTGAACTTCAACTCGTTGAAACTTACAGAAACAAATGAGTAAATACAACACAAGAAAGAAATTAAATCTTTGTATTCTAAATAATGAAAATCAACTTAATGCTGCTCCAAAAGTTATGCCTCCAATTTATTTTTTCAGAAAGTAGAACAAATACAAGGAACACAAAAACATCACTGGATAAAGTTTTCAGCTACAAAACATTTGTCACCACCACTAATTTTTTTTACCAGTGCTTAAAAGCCTGCATGCCATTTGTAAAAATCTACACCATTGGAAGAGACCCAGTTTTCAACACATCATTGCCTCCCACCTAAAAGTACTTGAACTAATATAAAATAGAAGGCATTACTTTTGGAGTTACCCTCATAAAATTGCAAGGAATTGACACACGCAAAAAAAAAAAAAAAAAATCTTGCAATTTTGTTGATGACTTAAATTTATAGGTTTTCAGTTTGAATACCATAAAAAGAATTTGAGAAATGACAAGTGCTCTTTAAGCATTGGAAAAATTTCAATAAAAATATTGTCAAACATTTTACCTGGATTGATCTTCTTTTTAATAGAAAATTGCTAATTTACAAAATAGATTAACTTTTCTTGGAACTGATGAACTAAAACCCAACACATTGTTTTATTCAAATATAAAATAACTTTGCAACATAAGTGTTGTTGTTTGAACGTCTTTTTTTTTTATCCAGAATAGGCACATAAAAAGAAAAAAAAAATGTCGACAAGAAAAGTTCAATTAAAAAGTCAATAACATTTCATTTTCAAAAGAAAGCGATTTAATTTTCATATAAAAAATAAGTTTTTAGCTCACAAGTAGGGAAAAAATAATCAGTTTAAATTTGAGGAATGAAACAGACTGAAAAATTATCCTCAAACTTTCTTATTAATGAAAAAAAAAAAAAAAAAAAATCAAAACTTCAACTAAAAAAGGAATCAAGTTTAACATTTTGTTAAAGAAAAAGTCATTTATATAAAATTTTCTGACTATATAAAGGCTTGAAAATTGTCAATATTGAATTGGAAA